CGGGCCTAGGAAGCGTCTCTGTCCATCTTGCTAGTGACAGCTTGCACCCAAATCTGGAGATGCCCACGGGGAGAGAGCTGTCACACACTTATCCCTACACAAAGGTGGGATGAAAGGTCGAGCCAGTCCCAGTCCCAATTAGCACCTCTAATCGGGCGTTAGCTGTTTTATCTGCTTTAAAAAGACACCTGCCAGGGAACACCCAGAAGGGTCCCTTTTTTCTATTGCCGCTGTAGGGACCTAAAAGCAGCAGAAAGATGTCTGGAAAGCAGTGTCTGCCTGCGGCTGAGCTGCGTGTGATGCGGGCAGGGCTCCCTGCTACTCCGTCTGGAAAACGGACTGATTCGCCTCAGCGGGCAGGTGGGGGCTAACGAAGCCACAGCTACGAAACGCGCTGAGCAAGTCCTCAGGAAAAGGGGGCAGATACACTGATGTCATTTTTAATTTGCCAATACCAGAAGGGACATCATGGCCAGGATCTATGAACAGAACCTCAAGCCTGCAGAATGAGTTTGCATCCCTCCTGCTGTTGCAGTAACAAATCAGGTGCTAAGGAAAGCTGCACTGAAACATATCTTCAGTGCTGAGGGACCAAATGGGATGTTTTACTGCATCAAATAAGGCCCAATAATGTCCTCAGGCATTTTCAAATGGCCATAAAATACCCCAGTCGGGCAAGGCAGGTTCTGTAGGCGCCTCGAAGCCTCTCAAAGGGAAAACTGTTGGGGAAAGTCTCTTAAGCAAAAACAGGGGCTGGGCTGTGTCCTTGGGGAGAAAGGCTGGTACTCTTATCTAGAGAGTTTGCAAGAAAACCGTGAACCCACACAGCTAAGAGGCCCCCAGAGAGCAAGCATACAGCGTAAGTAGGAGGGCGTCAGGGCTGAGCCCCTTCCCACCCGGAGAGGGTGCTCCGAGCCCAGCCCCTGGCCCCCAGTGCTTCCTGGCGCTTCCCACAGAGCCAGGAAGAGATCACACTGCACTCCCTTCCATGTTCTTCAGCCACATCTGGAGTTGCTGCTGCTGCTCACTAATCCGAGTTCCCCACTCCCCCCCCCCCCATTTCTTCTCCCCCTTCCTCCCATCTCTGCTGTGCTAACAACAAAGAGCTGCTCTGAGGCTGGGGAGCCAGTGCACGGCCTTTTATGTCAGGGCCGGGGATGCTTCGCCAGACAATGCCCAGTTTCCAAAGCAGGCAGAGCCATTCAAGACCCAGACGAGGGCCACAGGGGCCGAACACATTGGCCACACGAGGCACATAAACCGCTCCCTCCTAGGCAGGGAGGCAGAGGTCCAGAGGAAGCTCTGGCCCTCGGTTTTAATTGTGGGAGTGCCTTTCACGCATATTCAGTCTCACCCTGTGATTTAACGCTTCCCAGGGTGTTTCAAGTGTTCTACGGAGTCCGTGCAAATTGAAGATGACATTGGATTTATATGTCTTCCTGATCGGAGAAAGGCGACTAGAGCTTCAGATAAATGTCAAGGTTCTTCATCCCTGTTCCTCCACCAGCAGACGCCACATTGGACCTTGACAATTCAAACTGTTTACTAATAAAATAAGCTTTCTAAGCTCCACAACCCCCATGATTTCTGTCTTGTCGGTTTGAGTTGAAATTCCACGTGTTCTCGTTGTCACGGACACGCATACTGAGGTGAGTGAGCTTGCTGGCCCTCAGACCGGTTCAGGGTCGAGGAGGGAGAAACCCATCTCCTGAGAGGGGACAAGGGTACTGGCCAACGCATGCTCTGGAGCGACGCTGTCACCTCCAGTGTGTGGCACAGCTAAGTTATGCCTGGTTGGCACTCGCACCATCCTCACTGTGAAGGCAAGAAGCTCAAAGCCTAAGATCTCCTGTGGCCCCTCACCCAGCCTCAGCACCGGATCTTACACCACTCACTGTAAAGATCAGATGCCTGGAACACATGTCACTCCCCCAAGAATGAAATGAATCTAGGTTCCCAACGGCAGCTTTTGATCACTAATGCTGCTCTGACTCAGATGTAAATGCCAAAACCAATTGCACTGATTATCAATTGAGAAAAATGAAGATGTGGGGAGTTCAGATTAGCTGGGAGAGGAAAAGACCCTCATGAACTCAAAACAGATAGTAGAGGGAACTAGTGCAGTTAATTCTGGTTTAAAAAGTAGTTTTTTTTTTGAGCCCCCAAACACACTGAAATTAGTACTTTCAGGAATATGCTGATTATAAATTGTGTACATAATGTGGTATGTCCCTTACCATAGGCTCACAAGCAGATTTATTTCTTTATATGTTTCTTTTCTACAAAGATTTATTTATTTATGCATACAAGAACTGGGATAAGGGCAGAAGTATTAGGGGTTAAGAGGATTCACCAGAGACAAAGTGGGGAGAACAGGCAGATTAACTGGAACAAACTGCCAAAAGGAGCATCGGGTAAGACAGGAGAGGTCTGCTGCGCCATGTGGGTCACCCCCCTGGCGGGGATCAAACTTATATTGCAGTGGCTGCCAATAGCCTGATAATGCTGAGACTCAGCTCCTTGCGCCTTCAGGGAGGCTCTGTTTCTGCATATATTTCTAAGGCATATAGCTCTTAGGGTAAGTGTTTGCTAGGCGTTACCTCATTTAATCCTTCGGGCAAGGGCTGTTTTTATTCACCTTTTACAGGTGAGAACATTGAGGCGTTACCTCATTTAATCCTTCGGGCAAGGGCTGTTTTTATTCACCTTTTACAGGTGAGAACATTGAGCCTCAAAGAAAAGTAAGGATTATAGAGAAAGTGGCAGAGTAGGGCTAACTTGGATTATCTGTACTGAACTGCCTCTCGGCACTCCCAAGGGGAAGCGGTCACCCCTGATCACCAAGAGAAAATGCCTGGAGTCAGCTTCAGTGTCCCTCAGCCCCTGAGGGTACTGCTGGGCCAGTGTCAGACACTGAGACCTCTCAGGGAGGCACAGGAGGACTGAGAGCACCTCGATCTCAGCAGGTGGAGAAACCCCTGATCAAAACACACTAAAAACAATACAGAAATCAATGCAAGCCGGTTTGAACCAAGGCTAATGAGCTTTCAGGCTCCTGGCCGCCTTCCAGTTCCGCAACAACCCTTGCGTTTCTCATTCCAGACGCTCTGGATGGAACTCTGCCCTTAACACTCCAGGTGCCCACATTCCCAGCGCCTCGAGCGGTGCTTCTCTTCAGCGAGGCTCTTCTCACCCGAGACTGCAGCAGGAACAACCCTGAGCCCCCCTGCGCAGGTAGGTGGCTGGAGGGAGTCCTGGGCACTGGTCACAGGAGCACCGACATCTCGAAGATGAGAAGTGCACCAACCTTTACCTATTTCATCAGTGACGCTGACACAGTCCCGACTGTACCAAAGTCAAGTCTGTGCATTATTAACCCTTAATGAGTCAGGACTGGTGATACGCTAGTGCCTGGCAGCTTGCTTTGAACACAAGTTCATATCAAGACATTTTATAAAAAGGTTTCTGTCCATGCTCTAGTAGTAAAAATCTGACTACAAATCAAACCTCAGTTGTTTGTAGTAACAGCTCAGTGAGAACTGATGGTCAAAACCAGGCCCCTGGAGAATTTCAACATTTTGAATTATCACAGAAAGATGAAGTCTGTCTAGGTGGAACAGTATGGTTGTAGGTACAGAATATGTACTGCATAGATGGAAACAAAGGGATATTCCGCTCACCCCTGCTTTGGTCACAAAATTCAGGGGAGTGCAGGATCCACCCTGGGGCTCCTTGGGTCCCCCAGGGTTACTACTTGGACAGCTGGTCCACCTGGCGGTCACTCCAGTGTTGGTCCGCTTGGGGCACTCACTGCAAAGTGCCGGGGTACGAAACACCAACCGCTATGAAAGCTGAAAAGACAGCAGACTGCTAAATAAAAGTGCCACACAGGTCGGGGTTCATGCCATGGGCTCTTGGAACCACTGACAGCTCAAATCCATCTTATAATGAGATCCATCTGGGACTTTATAGCTAACCTCTCTTGCTTGGATAACAGCACAAGTAGGTCTCTCTTCTGCCAGATCTCACTTTTTGATAGAAAGCTTCCAATGAGCTTATTTTGTTCTAGTATCAGAAGTGGCAATGAGGACCCAAAGGACATATCCTATGAGTCTGTTGGAGGGAGGTGGCCTCGCTGGCCAGGGGACTACTGGGGATTAGGTGAGAAGCAGAGGTGGGCTGTTACTTTATATTATCGAGCTCGAATTACCTTCGCCGCCCAGGCTTGCTGGGAGAATAACAAACTACTGCAGAAGTAAAGCAGTACTGAATTCATTCACTCGCCCACCGCGACTGCCTGTCTGTCTGCCGGGGCCATGACAACAGTCCCAGTAGGAGCTCACACTGACCTCAACTCCACCCCAGGCTGTGGGGGAGCTAAGGCAGAAGACAGTCGTCAAGAGTGCTGAGAGACAGCTGCCCATTGAGAATGACCACAGACCACCTCCCGTGCTGTCGGTTTGCTTTACTTGAAAAGAACAGGAATGGGACAGAAAGGCGAGGCTCGGCAGGACAGCGCGAGAGCACGGGCAGCCCCCTCATTCCACAACCAGGAGCGGCCAGGTGTAAGCACGTCACCACGCGAAAGGGCTTGATCTTGACCTCAAGACACCGGTCTTAGAAACACTCAAAATGACCCCATTTCCATGCTAGGGTTATTGATCTAAGGCGATGCCACCAAGACAAAGGGCTTTTAGACAGACCTGATTGGACAAGAAGCCATGACCTTCCCCAGCCCAACAATGACACAGATGTGAAGGACAGCTGGCCCTACAGCCCCATGACATGCTCTTCAGAATGAGGCAGTCTTCCAGAGCCCTGGCAGCTGGACTGGCCCCCAGGAACAATGCCTGCTCTCAGGCTCAAAGCATGCTGCGGCCAGTCCCTGGTGCCACTTGTCCTCAGGAGGGCTTGACGCGCCGCGCCTGGGGACAGAGACAGGCAAGCTCATGCATGGGTTAGTATTACAGAGGGCAGTACCATCACCACATACAGAGTACCTGGGAGGAACCTACTGTGAGGGCTCAAATGCAGATAGGTCTTCTGCCTTGGGCTTGAGGCTAAACCAGCAAAATAAAATGAAGAAAAACAAAACATACCCTGTGATATCAACAATGCCACATGCGTTTGCAAAATGCTCAGACAGGCCTGAAACCGTGACAAGTGACTTCATTTGTTTGTTTTCATGGCTTGGAAATGGGTCTCTCCAGCTTTCAGCACTCCAGGTGTCTGCCGCCCAGAGCCCAGCTCACTGCAACGGCTTAAGGAGGCGACTGCTCCCAGTGCCCAGAGGAGCCTGGCGGGCCGGGCAGGGCTGGGCAGAGCAGGGCCGGGCAGGGCAGGGTCGGCCGAGGTAGTGCCCTAGAGGGCTGACTGGCTCCCTGGCCCAGTCCTGGGTCTACCTCTCTGCTCTCTAGCTGAAGCCTCACTTTAGGTCTCTTTTTGTCCCCCATTACTTACTTGGCTTTGGAAGGGAAACCAATAAATTACAGAATCCAGAGGAAAGAAGAACACAGACTGTGGAAAGGTCTTTCCTCCTAGGTTATCCTTTTAAAAGGAATTCCCTTCCAGGCGCCAAACCAACTGCAGTGAAGAGAGAGAATTTGGGGCTCCCAACTAACTATATCCACCAACAATGGCAGGTAGATAATGAGTCCTCAGTTTTTAGATTCAGCTTAATCGCTGAACTGGGAGACCATTTTAATGATTAAGTTAAAAAAGTAGCCAGTGAAAACTATCATTCTCTAAGTGCGATGATTTTATCTTACTGCCGTTTTACAGGCATTCACCTGATCCTGGCGATGCCAGTCAGGGCAGACATCACAAGCAGGGGAGCAGCTTTCTACTTGGCCCAACTTAAGAAAAGTATGCTCTTGGGCTGATAATTAGTATGGAATTTAACTTCCTCTAAATGCCGAAAGCTTAAAATACCAGTGGAGAAAGATAGGGAATGATTAGCAACATAAGTGAAGACTCATCGTGTAAAATATTGAGGTTCTTCTAGATACTTCCTTTTAAGTATGAACAACATTAAAAATTTAGAATTTAGTTTCTACACCAAAAATAGAATTGTATAGTCCTTGCCAGTCACAGACACTCAAAGTCTGGAGCCGGAGTCCGTTCTCGATGGCCTCCATTTCATTTTGCCTTTTCAATTTAGTAAGGCAGCTCCCTGGGCATAACTCCCCTTGGCTTAAAAGGCAGAACTGCCTTACTACTAAATGATGGATCAAAACCATCCTGTAACAGGGACTCATTTCATCAGAGCTTTTAACACAAGCTCCCTTCCATCAAGCCAGTGGGTTCACAGTCATTGGCAGAGAAATTCCCTTTCTGGCACGAGTCAGAAAAATTTCCTCAATTAAGAACATATAAAAAATGACACCAGTCTTAATGACTCAGCTACTGAAGAAACCAGATGCCAACCTCACATCTCATTAACGACTGTCCTGATCAGCACAAGACACGCGATTCAGTACCTTTTTAATGGTATTGTGCTTGCTGCTGGTACCACCCCGGTCAGAGTTCTCATTGTGCAGAATATCCAGGGCCGTCTCCCGCTCCTTGAGTTTCAAGGCCTCGATCTCTGTCTTGAGCTCATTGAGCTGCTCCTGCAGGTGCTTGCTCTTCTCCATGTACTCCACCCTGCCAGCGAGACGGCATTGTGAATCACAGGTTCGCAAACAGAGAGACGCATCAGGGTTGGGGTGCTCCATGAGCTGCAGCTGCTCGGCGTGGGACCCGGAGTCTGAATCCTGAAGTTCAGCTCCACCTGACCACTCAGGGGCCATGGGACTCCGAATCTGCTCTGAATCTATTTCCTCAGCCGTAAAATAGGGGTAATGATCACAGGACTAGTAGGAGAAGTGTTCATGAAGTGCTCTACAAATGCTTCCAGAATAGCGTCTAATTCTCTACAAAAACAACATAGGAAACAAGCCTCCTGGCATCTAAAACAGCCTTCCTGTCTCAACCCTCCTAAGGTCAGTAACTATTTAAGTGACATTTGCCGACAGGCCGGGAGCCTACTTGTTTTGGGATGACACTTTTACTCAGTCAACACTGGGAAGAAAAAGACCCCATCATGGCTTCAAGCAGACAGACTGTGTCTATGATGGCTGAAAATCTGGAAAGCATGAAGTATCCAGCTAAAAGGGCATGATAGGGCAAACTGCACAATAAATACCAAGGAACGATCTGTAGTGAAGCTCATGGCTGGTGTGTAGATTCTGCCAAGTGCAAGTGTGGTAAGGAAGGAAACAGAAACAATAAAAAGTGAGACACAGAACAGGCTGCAGCCTCACCCTGACCACAGCCAGGCCTCGTATGCCTGGGCCTTGGTGAAAGGCTGGAAGGGGAAGTGGAAGAGCCTGGTTCGCTGGCTACTTATCGACACCCTCGGCCTGCAAGCCCAAAGAGAAAGAGCCCTGCTCGACGCCACCAAGCGGGCTCCAAGGAGAAACCTTCGCCAGAGGCTTACGGGGAGCATGGAACATGGCGAGAGCGGAGCGCACAGGCTACAAAGCCAGGTGGGCTTGGTGTTAAATCCCGGTTCTGTCCCTCTTCGGCTGTGGGATACTAGGTGAACTCATGAAAAACTTTCCATCTGAGTTCTCATTTACAAATGAGAACACTAAAACCTACCTGTGATGTCGGTTAGTTACTGGGAATTAATTAAAGCCCAAAGCCCCGATGCCCAGGTACCTGATACTCGGTAACCACTGGGGGCCACCTCCTGGCAGGCTGTGGCAGAGTTGGGCAGTTTACCGACAGCCCTGGGAACCGGCAGGGCCTCAGCTAGAAGACTCCCGCTGAAGGGGGCCTCCTTCCCATCTGGGACAAGTGGAATGAAGGACGGCGCAGCAGAAGCTGCTGCAATAGGACAGGTTAGGGTCTGGTCAACACTGGCCACACACCAGGGCTGACCAACCTGGTCACTGCCCTGGATGCTCCCTTGGCCTCTAGTGCCATGTTCTAAACATGGAAGCTGCTAGAGAGCTCAGCCTCCACGGCGCGTGGCTGGGAAATGTTCTGAACATTATCACATGCTCCGTGCCCATGCGAACAGCAGTTTGACAGCCTCGGAATCCCTGACAGCCAGCCGCACACTTAGGGAAGACTCTGGGCTGCTGTACACCCCAGGGCACCAACCAAGTGTCCTCTTTATCCTAGAAGATTAAAGGCTGTCTGGTGTCCTTCGTTGCTCATTAGGAAGTCCTTCCAGTGCGTGAGAACAGAGCACACTTTCACGGGGGCGAGTGACAAGGTGCTGCGGTGACCCTGGCCTGTCCCCAGGCACAGAGCGACGCTCTGGTCACCGGCTGCCCCAGCAGGGTAGGAAGGGCTACGTACTTTTCTTTCTCTATCTCCATGGAAAGTCGCTTCATGTCGGTATCCTTGAAGTCGAAAGACAAGGTGTCTCCGATGAGGTTGAAGCTTGGTATGTCGGGAGGCAACGGGGCCGGAATCGGATTCACGGGCTGTGAGGAGAAACCTCTGATTAGGCTCAGCGTCGGCAGGCACACAGGCCACGGTGGGCACCGTGCGAGGCAGACCTCCTGGCACCCTCAGAGAAGCACAAAGAACAGGACAGGGCTCCTGGCTCTGTGCAGATGAAAATCTTGTTCAGTAAACAGATGTGTTCACAGATGTGTTCATCATCATAGTTAAATAAACACTGTAGCCAGGGAGTGGGAGCGACCTGGGGAGCTAGACTGCTTTCTGTTGGCATCAAAAAATGGGCCAGAAGAGAAGGCAAGAAGCCTGGCATCACAGCCATCACGAGAAAGCCCAGTGTCTGCAGAGCCAGTGTGGGGAGGCAGGTGGCTGACTGGGGTCAGATTACAAAGTCCCTGTACCCCAAGGGCTTTTTAGATTCAGAAGATGGAGCCAGAGCACGGTTTGAAGTAGAGGATGAAGCAATTAGATTTGTTCTGAGGACTTTTTTCATTCCAGAACAAAGGGTCATGTAAAATACGGCTCCAATATACCTCTTCAGTGTCTCCCATCATTTGCCCGCAAAATCACAGAGGGCATTATTTACTGTCCCATGGGCCAGGCTGCTCTCCGATCTCTGTTCCTTTGCTCTGACCATTTCCCTTCCCTGTTAATCTCTCTCTTTCAAGGCCCCTGTCAGATGCTAGGATTTCGCACCAAAGTCTTTCTAGATTCCTCCTGGCCAGATGGCACTCTTTTCCTCTCAGAGTGTGAACACTGTTTCCGGTTCTCTAATGGCACTGCTCTAATTCTACTCCGATAAAAGTCCTTTTTGGCTGTGTGTTCTTCTTTCTACTGCTGGCAGGTTTCCTGCGGGCAAGACCTGCCTCCCTTTCATCTTTGGATCGTTTATAAGTCAAGGACAGTGTCTGGGAAAGAGCAGAGGTTCAGAGCATTCATTTGAGATTATAACAAGACCTCAGGTAGACAGTCTATGTGGGTCTTAAAACTAGTGCTGAGAGGGGCTTCTGGGGGGCACTAGAACATTCTGCCTTCTGATTTCAGTGTTGAGCATATGGGTGTGTTGAGCTTGTGAAAATTCATCAAGTCATATGATAATAATTCAGGCTCTTCTCTGGATCTGTATTGTATACATTATAAGAATTTGCAGAGTGCAAGGTACTGTTCCGTTGGCCAGACTGTACAGTGGTACCACCTCTGCAGAGAGCATCCAAGTTGGAAAACTGGGCCCCACAGTCCCATTTATGAGAATTTATTTCACCAATACAGCCATAGTTATATGCAAAGATTTGTGTTCAGGGATGTGTTTGGTATAGTTTTGTTCACAACTGCAAAAAAAAAAAAAAAAAAAAAAAAAAAAAAAAACCCCAGGCCAAATACCCACTTATAGGAGACAAATTACAATCCATTTGTTCAATGAAATAGGATTAAAAAGTTGACATGGATGCTTTCTGGGATTTATTGCTAAGAAAAAAAAGCCAAGTCAGGACAATGTGTAAGTTTTTTCCAATTTCAAAGACACACACCTCTCGGGTATGTAGCCCAGGTGAACTCTCAGGTGACTCACTCCCAGCTGCCATCTGCCTGCAACTGCCTCAGAGACTCTAAGCAAGGACAACCCAGCACTCCATGGGAGATAATAGATGGTTGCGCTGAACTGCCTGATTGCCTTGGAGAGGTTTGTGACACAGTAACAGAGAACCAGAACAGATGAGGGTAGCAAACCATTGACATGTTCTCCACCTCAAACTCTGGCAATGTATGCCTCTGTGCCCGTCACACCGCTGTGTTTCACTCAGTGTAAACTACTGCCATGCAAGAACCAGCTTCCAGTCTCAATGCTGGACAGTGGCACCTTGTGGGCTTGCCGAGAATACCCTATCACCTTACCATCTGGTACTTCCCACCTGGCTAGTTCCTACTCCCCCTTCAAGATTCAGGTCAGGCACCATCCCAGATCTTTCCTGCCCCTCCTGATGGGCTAAGCTCTCCTCTCGCACCTATGGCCCTGTATACAGGCTCCACACCTACCTGGTACTATATGGAACAGAACAGGTGTGCAAAACATTTGCTGAACTCAATGCACAGAAGAAAGGAGAGGGAAAGACTTCTTTATTGTTTTGTGGCCCCACTTAACTGAAGGCAGCCTCCCTGCCCAAACTGAGACCGGAGCTGGCTCTTGCATGGCAATGGTTCACTCTGAGTGTACAAGCTGTCCCTGCCCAGACAACAACGGTATTTGGTATATATTAGTGGTTGAAGGTTACACTCAGCTTGGGTTAGGGGACAAATTCTCTTAAGGATAGTTTGGGGTTATAGTGGAATAAGAAAAACTTTTCAGTGCTAGAAAAGGCCCTGTTGCCTGCAATCTGGAGAGGTGCCCAGTTTAAGGCCAAATGGCAGACCAGGAGTTGGACCCAGCCCCGAAGTGGGCTTCCTGCATAGCCTCTTCCACGTGTCTGCTTGAATGGAAGGGCCAGACGTAACAGGAAGGTCATCGCGTCTGGAGCAGCTGCAGGTCGGCAGCCCCACCCAGGCTCACCGGGTATGTGGGCTTGGTAGAGATCTCCAGGAGCTTTTGCTTGGCTCTGCGCTCTGCTTCACGGGCCTCCTGCAGGTCCTGCTTTAGCTGATCTGCTTCCTTGGCCCTGCAAGGGAAGGAGGAACTATCACCTCCACAGAAGATGACAGGTGGAAGAAGAGGATCCTTCCTACTCTTCCCCCGGGAGGGGCCGGGGTTACTCCTGAGGATGGCACCAGCCCAGGCAAATAAGAACGGTGGAGGGGGAATTTACATGAAACCAGAACATCTAACTCAAGGATAACATCCCTGGGTATTATCCATTTCTGCTGGTGAATCTAGCGGGACGAGCAGGGTAGCTGTGGGAAGGAGAGTCCCGCGTGAACCTTTGCAGTCAGTGAAGGGGAAGAAACTTGGAGATGGGCTAGAAGGTCTGAGTCATTTCTGAGTGAGACTGGGCTGGGCAAAGGAAGAATTTGGATCAAAGCTCTCATGATGAATCACAAAGAAAAGGATGTGAAAGAAGGGATTCTTCACAGCTGCCAATAAAACTACTGCAGGCCAAGGTCTGATCTCCTCAGGCAGGAAGACAAGTACCAAGGGCCTCAAATTCTGGTGCAGTTTTTCCTCCTCAGGACACTGGGCCAGGGAGCCAGGCCCAACACTCATCATTCATGAGGTCAATGACCCACAAACAGAAAGAAAGGGTAGGAAACAAGAAACCATACTCCCAGAATTAAAGGCAAAGAGCAGAGAGAAAAACTACAGTGACTTCACATCAGTAGCTGAAAGCCAAATTCAAGTGTCTAAGTCAACATAGCTGTGGGGAGCACACTGTGTTTATCTGCAGGCTGCAGAACCAGAGCAATCCAGCTCCTGCACATTTCTGAGCAGCACAGTCTACACCATCCCTCAGTCTGGTCACGAGCTGGGGCAGCCCAGCCTCCGTTCCCTTCTGCCCCGGGAGCCTGCACCCCAAGGAAGGGCTGCAGGGAAATGGGTGCCTGGTTTCTATTTTAAAGGTAAATAACTGCTGTCTCCCCGCAAGCCCCCTAAATAGAAAGGGAACAGAGCCATGTTTTTTCTTAATATCAGAAGTGCCTCCTCTGTCTCTCAGCTAACAGCAACGTGCTCCACAGCTTTCCTGCAGGTACATTGGAGGGGTGGGGCTTACACCGCCGTTCCCGGAGACCCCTCCGCAAGAGAACTGTGTTCCTGTGCCCTTCCACTAGCCCTGGGCTGCGCACTGGCTCAAACACCAGACCCCACCAGCCCCAGTCAATCCAGGAAGACGTTTCCTCGCAACCGCCACCCCCAAGAAGAGAAGCAGCTTGAGGACAGCTGCCGTCCGTCCCACCCGGTGATGAAGCAACAGCGCCCGGGATCCCTACCCGGCCCCAGTCTCTAACCTCCTCTCTGATTCCTCAGCCATCTTCAGCGCCAGCACCTCGGCTTCCAGCACCTTCTGCTCCATCAGGCGTTTCTCTTCCTCTGTCCGGATGGCTGTGGCCTTGATGCGCTGCATTTCCTGTTCAGCCTCTGCAGCCTTCTGAGCCAGAAGTTTTGCCTCCTCCTCCGTGATTTGGGCCTTTTCTGCCAACAGGTCAGCTGTTTCCTCAGACCTCATCTGGAGAGAAAAGAACCGTCAGCTGGAGCGGGGACCACTCCTGATATCTGGTGTCGGACATTCAGGTCAGCGAGAACCAGGCCTTGGGCGCCTCAGGGTTCTGCCCGCTGACTGTCCCCAGGTGAAACTGGGAACAGATGTCAAGTCACACCCCTCAGTTTTTCAGAAGAATCCCTCCCTCAGGCTTCTTCTGTGAGGACCAATAGGGGTGAGTCTCTTCTCAGAGCACCTATTATGAGCTAAGACTTATGCTTTATGAGGGAGAAAACTCACTTCTTTCCCTTTAAATCAGGGCTCAGGGCCTCCCTGGTGGCACAAGGGGCTAAAGTGTAGCACTATGAAGCTATGAAGCTGTCTGCTGTCACTGCAGCATGAGTTTGATCCCCAGCCAGGGAGCTGACCCACATGACACGGCAGACCTCTCCTGTCTCGCCTGCTGCTCCCCTCAGCTGTGTACTTTAGTCAGTTGGCATGTTCTGCTCCCCATTCTGTCTCTGGTGAATCCTCTCATCCCCCCCAGCCCCACACACCCAGCTTTCATATAAATAAATAAGTACATAAATCAGGGCTCAAAGCCAGATACATTTGCCCCACCCACACCCCCAGAATGTATAACATGTCTGGAGACATATTTGATTATCAGAATCAAGGGGCGACGAAGTGCTGCTGGCATCTGGTGGCTAGAGGAGACACTGCTCAATGCTGAACCCCTTCCCAGGCAGGAGAGGGCCCCCACCACAAAAAGCGATCTGGCCCCCACATCGTGGCACTGAGGCCGAGAGGCCCTGCTTTAAAGGCAGTCCGCAGCGCCGATGAAGCTCTGCCATGCGTGAACTTGGCCTCATCTTATTTCTGTCCATGCAGGTGCGAACAAAAGGGGCTTTTTTTTTGAGTTGGAATCAAGTGTCAAAACAAATGCCACTAATCTGGGGTTTTCCAGAAACCAAGAAGCTGCCTGGAGCGTCCCGGTCATGACCCCTCAGACATCACCAGCGCTTCATTGGCCATTGTTGCTTCTTCTTTCATCTGCAGCAGCCTCCTCTCCAACTCGTCCCTGGTGCGTTCGGCCTCCTCCCTCATCTGCTTCTCTCGGGCGAGGCGCTGCCGCTCCATCTGTGAGGGCGCAAGGAGCGTCAGGTCAGGGCTGCCAGGTCCCAGAAAGCCAAGGTCCCAGTCTCCCCTCTGGCGGCCCTTTCGGCCTCTGCTAACGGTAGCCAGTGTCACTCTCCACATTCAACACCCTCTGTCTTTCCAAACTGGCTGCAGAATTGGAAACTGTGCCCTTAGAGAAAACACCAAGGAATCAACTGGCCAGCAACAAACAAAAACCAAACCCGCTCTAGGCCTGGACAGACGGGGGGGTATCACACACCACGGGCTGAGACAGCCGATCTGCTTTCCTTGGGGGCAGCACACGGGGCTCTGCCCTGCAGCTCCCAGGACACATGGCGTTTCTTTCTCCCTGAGAGGGAGCCCCAGAAACAGCCAGCTTTCCCGTGCAGCTGGATGAGCCCTCTTGCTGAATCTAATCCACGCAGACCCTCATTTCAACAATAACTGCACTCTCGCCTCTGGCCCCCGGAGGAGATGGAAGCGCTGTGTGATGCATCAACAGCTCTCACATTGTATTTCACAGGGGGAGCTGCAGCCACCACAGCACAGAGCCTCGCTGTCTCAGAAGGAGGCAACCACCCGAGCCAGGCCTGTGACAGGAGGGAGCCAGGCAGGGAACACAGCCCCATCCTTCAGGCACCGGCACAAGACTGCTGCAGCCTCCCTTGCCTTCTGGATCACTGTATTAATTGGGCCACACGCTGAGCTTAATAAGGGGACAAGCGCAGGACAAGTGCTATTCTCTGTGATCCTAGGGCGCCAGCCGAGTTCAGAGAGCAGAAGCCAGAGATGACCACCTCACGGTTTTCTTTCTTAAATATTTAATGCGCGGGCCCTCCCTGGTGGCGCAGCGGGTTAAAGCGCAGCACTGAGAATCTTAAAGCCGCTTCCACATGAGTTCGATCCCCGCCTGCCCCGGAGGTGACCACATGGTGTGGCAGACCTCTCCTGACCCGCCCGCTGCTCCCCTCTGCAGTGTGCTTCGTTGATCTGCCTGTTCTGTTCCGCACTCTGTCTCTGGTGAAGCCTCTCACCGCCCCTGAGCATCTGGCCTGTACCCCAGTTCTGTATGCACAAATAAATAAATCTTTAAAAAAAAAATATTTAATGCGCATTTACTTAGTTACTTCCCGCTTCTGTCTTTTCCTGAACTCAAGATTTCTAAGATGTTTGCACTTTCTAAATACGAAGCAGATTTAAGATGCATTGGGACTTAAAGGAATAATGCAAAAGCAAGCAGTAAAATATTGTAACTTCTCCAATTTTCCCCTCGCAGGTCCATGTAAAGTTTAGTCAATTTGTACTCTAATTTCCATCGTACCATGGTTTGTACCAGGTGGACTGTAACTCCACTTGAGATACAGCCCAAGTAATCCCCTCTGCTCCCAGCTTTGCTTTTCCTGAGAAACTCAGCCCCCTCCCTGCCCCTCCCACTCCCTGCACCAGTGAGGGGTCTCCCACTGGCAAGGCAGTTTAAGATTACAAAGAATCTCCAGCATCCTTTGAACTGAGGCAGAGAAGAAGTACCAGTAGCTCCATTTGACAGATGAGAAAACGGAGGCCTAGGAGGTGCGTCATTGACTAACATCACAAACTGCTTCACGCCAAGTCAGTGCCCGTGCCCTCCCTCCCCTGCCCCAGCCCCCAACCAGCAGTCAGCAGAAGTGCAGGACGTGCCTCTGCTGACCGGCAGGCAGCACAGGCCTGAGGACCGCTCATGGTCTTCCCTGCCTGTGTGCTCATTCAGATCTCACTTCCAGGCTTTGTTCTGCTGAAAAAGTGGTCAGAGAGCTCTTCAAGTTGCCACCATCACACTGGATTGGCCAGGAGCATGTCTTTGTCCAAAAAAAACCCCCACTCTACTACCCCAAACGCCCCAAAGAGCACACATATGGACTGCTGTCTCAGAAAGCAGAGAAGGATAGCTGAAGCACACTGGAGCAAACAGATCGTTTTCATTCTAAACCTCAAGGGAGGGAGCCGGTCTTGCCAGAGTACCCGAACCAGAGAACTGCACACAGACTAATTATTACACCTCTGAGCCTGCCAGTCCAAAGGGCAGTCACTGCAGCTGCTGCTACTCTGAGTTGGTCCAAAACCACAATTGATATTCTCAGCAGTGAAGCTCAGATTAGTTGTGCGGATTTCGGTGAGTGAAAGAGGTCTATGAGTAGAAAACAATGATGCAGATCGTCCAGTCTGCTGGTTCACACTGACACCCCCTGCGGCGGGTGGTATGCTGCCAGGGCTGACCTGCAGTGGGGAAGTGTGGCCAGAGTCTAATTAGCATTCCAGCAGCAAGCCCTGAAACGCCGCGTGCAGTCTATCACCATCTAATTAGAAAAGGAGAAGGCCAGGCAAAGGAGACGGCAAAAAGAAGCCAGCGAGTTAGACGGAAGGATGGATGGAGGGAGGGAGGGAGGGAGGAGAGGAGGGATACAAGGATGGACAGGAGGGGAGGATGCAGGATGCAGGATGCAGGCTTGGCGTCACCTCCCAAACCAGCATTTATCATACTTCGTTTAACTTCATTAAGTGGAGAAGTAACTAGAGACATTTCTTTTTGATATGCTATTAGAGTTTATTCCTCATCTCCAGAGCTGACAACCCACTAGCTGGACATCAGCCAATAACGACGCAACAGGGATAAAACAGGAGCAGATGTGTCCACGTCAGGATGACTCTTGTCTGTACCCGACCACTCTTTACCTCCCCTTACCACCCAGTGACAGTACCAGCAAGTCAAAGATGGTCTTGCTTACCTGTTTTCGAGCCTTCTCCTCCCTGGCCTGGGCTTTCATCTGCTGAACTTCCAAAGAATCAGCCTTCCTTCTCCTCATAAAAAGGTCGTGGTTCCCAATACAGAGCTGGAGAATCTGTGGCATGGAAGCAGACAGGTTAAGCTCACAAAATCACTGCCTACCAACTTACTGACTCCAGCACCTCACTCTGGGGGCTCGTGCAGGCAGCAGAAGGAAACCTGAATAGGAGAGCGTGGGGTGAAACACCAAAACTTTCCCCCTGGCCTCGAGTGCTCGGCTCTGGAGACAGGCAAAGTGACTGTGCCTCCGAGATGCCGGGCATCAACAGTCAGAAGTACAGGAGAAAGAGATAGAGGAAGTAGCAGGCCTTCTGGACTGACTGCAGCCCCCTACGTGGGAAGGCGGCTCTGTGGTGGAGGGAGGAAAATTCATTCAATAGGTTGGGCCAGAACAACAGGTCATTCACATGAAAAAAATAAGTGGGATCCCTTTACTTCACGACACACAAAAATCAACCTCAGAAGGATTAAAGACTTACATGCAAAGATCAAGCCCTTGAACTTTTAGAAGAGAATTCAGAGTGTGTTTATGATGAAAGGATAAAATGTCAAGCAAGACACCAAAAGCACAGATGATTAAGGAAGAGATGTATGTATTTGTCTACATTAAAATTTTAAAAAATTCTGTCTCGTGCACTCGGTTGGATTTGTAAATTCCTGTTTTTAGAGGGGGAGGCGTGGGAGGGCTCCACATGGCTACTCTTGAATTTGGACACACACTGCAGTCCTGCACTTGTACTGCTGTGTAGAGTCCAGACTAGAGAAATGGCTGCCCATGTGCACAGGGAGGCAGAGATGAGAATGTTTGTTCACAACAGCCCTGTTAAAATGGCACAGAAGTGTAATGCCCTTAATTGTCCATTAATAGAATGAATAAATAGCATGCAATGGAATACTATGCAGTAGTGAAAACGACAGGCTTCTGTCTTTCAGTATCAACAAAGAAAAATCTCAAGGGGCCTCCCTGGTGGTGCAGTGGTTAGAGACAGTGCCATCAAGCCATTGGCAGCCACAGCAGCACGAGTTGGATCCCTGGCTGGCCAGGGAGCTGCCCACATGGCACAGCAGACCCCTCCTGTCTTGCCCAGTGCTCCCCTCAGCAGTGTATTTCAGTCAATCCACCTGTTGTCCCCACTCTGTGGTAAGTCCTCTCACCCCGCCCCCTGCCCCCGCACTTCTGGCCTACACCCCAGTTCTTGTCTGTATAAATAAATAAATAAATCTTTAAGAAAAAAAAATCTCCAAAAATGTTTAAGTAAAGCAAGAGAAAAATAAAGTTGCCAGCATTTATATTTATTTCAAAAACATGTAGAATGTAATAGCATTTTTGTTTTGCCGACTATAAAATAAAGTTCTGATGACGAGCAAGGGGATAATGAGTGCACAGCCCAGACCAGGCGAACCCCTGGTGGGATTCGGAGGGAACACAAGGGCTTCGACTGCATTAGGGATGTGCTTGTCTTTAACGCTGGTAGTGGGTATGTAGCCATTTGGTTGTGTCATTCTTTATAACACGTTTGCATGTGAAGTACTTTTATGGGTATGAAGCAGTGCAATAAAAATAATTTAATTAACAAAATTCCTTATCGCCAAATTTAGGTTTGATTCTTTAAAGCAAGCTGAAGAATCTTTCAAAGACTATGAAAAAGTGTGTCTCGAGCAAGTCATCATTCTAACTTCACAAGAGGTCATCCTGACACTCTTCAGAAAGAACATTCGATTTCTCAGAAAAAACTAGGTATCAGTAATAAACACCAGGATCTCAACTTACCAATTTATTAACCCGAAGCTTTGAGGAGTTAAATTTGAAGACATCAATTTTCTTATCCAGTGGCTTAATAGTAAACTGAAAGAAGGAAGCAGGAAACAGCATCAGTCTGGCAGCTGAGGGTGTCACCACCAACTGGGAAACTGGCAAACTCCAAGAGCAGCTCCCACACTGGCAGATGCCCAGCAGGAGGGTGAGCCTTGTCCTAGCTCCCAGCCAGCACCACACCATCGGGACTTACAAGCATCTGAGGGTACCAGGCTGGGGCTGTGGACGCGCAGGGTCCCGAAAGGGGCTTCTTGGCACCACCTCAGTCTGGGAAACTGAGGTAAGAACACAACCCTGAGGACATCCCTGGAAAGGCCACTGCAGACTAAGACACAGCCCTGCCGAGGGGATGCTCACAACCTTACTAGCACTAGGCCACCAGCAGTCACCTAAGAAATGGCTTCAGGGGCCTCCCTGGTGGCCTAGGGGCTAAGTCTTAGCACCAGCACTGGACAGCCTGAGTTCGATCCCAGGCCAGGGAGCTGACCCACATGGCACAGCAGACCTCTCCTGTCTCGCCACAGCTCCCCTCAGCAGTGGATTTCAGTAGATCTGCCTGTTCTGCTCCCCTCTCTGTCTCTCATGAATCTGCCGCCACCACCACCACCCACACCTCTGGCCTATACCCTAGTTCTTGAATGCATAAATAAATAAAATAAACCTTTTAATGAAAGAAATTGTTTCAAACATAGGTCCTCACTGGATGACACAAATCACAAACTCTGGAAGTTCAGAGTGTATCCACCCTAAGTCAGACTCAAGCTGTATTTAACAAAGAACATGACAGACAAGCTGTAAGGCAGGGTGGAGTGGCACCTGGACAGGACACGCAGTGCAAGTGAGGCAGAGGCGGCAGACGGGCACCGCGTGCGAGCCTGTTGGACAGTGTGCATTCTTTCATGGCTGTGAGGACACACGGCCTAGGAGTGGGGGAGCGTGGGGGGCTGGGTGTGTCCATGGCCAGGGGGTGAGCAGGAGGTCACAGAACTAGTAACGTGTGATGGGGCAACCTGCAGGAGCCACTGCTGGGTTTGGCAGATCAGGGCTATCTGATGGAGCTATGAACAGAAGAACAGGTGACAGCCCAAGAAGACAAAGGCCTTAGACCAAAGGGAGAGAAAGATGAATGGTCACGACAGTGTGGTAGTTTGTAGGAGAACCCAGAGCCAGACAGAGAAGCATTTATATGGCCACTGCTTTTTCTCAAGCATTCCTTAATGAGAACAGACAGAACCCAGATTTCAAAGTTGCACTTAAAAATATGGATATCCGTGGCCCTCCCTGGTGGCGCAGCCGGTTAAAGCACAGCACTGAGAATCTGAAGCCATTTCCGCATGAGTTCGATTCCCGCCTGCCTCCTGCCCTGGAGGAGACCACATGGCGAGCCAGACCTCTCCTGACCCGCCCGCTGCTTCCCTCAGCAGTGTACTTCGTAGATCTGCCTGTTCTGTTCCCCTCTCTGTCTCTGGTGAAGCCTCTCACCGCCCCTGAGCCTCTGGCCTGTACCCCAGTTCTGTATGCACAAATAAATAAATCTTAAAAAAAAAAAAAAAGAATATGGATATCCATTCCCAAGACCGACCTGTTAAGCTGATAAACGTGTTTGGGAAGATAAATTCTTGGTGTTTTCTCACACATGACATGATCCAACGAGAGGCCAGCACATGGAGGACAGAAAATTATCTTTTGCTTTGCTTTTGGGTCAGGTTGACTTAGAAGCAGCATCGCGCTTGTATAAGCTTTTATTTGTGAATTACATGAACTTATTTTTGGCCTTGCTGCCAAACCCTGGAGCTGCCAGCGGGGAGCCATGAGTAGCGGGGAAGCCAGAGGCTCTGTACCACGCCAGGATGCACACAAAGAATGAATGGATCACTTAAAATAAACCAGCGTTTCTGTTTTGACAGCATGGCTGTCACGCATAACTACCGAGACTACTTCCTATTATGTCAGTCAGCTTGGGGCCCTCTCACTGAGCGAGTCATTCACATGACGGGACATGATGGTGTCTTGTCCCTGGAGAGGGTATATTAGAGTTTACCGTTTCAGGCCGTACTGGGGGAGGCTTTAATTCTTGGGTTCTGTGAAGAACGAGTGTTTTGGGAGTCTTTTAGCACACAAATGTGTGGGTGTGCAGTAAACAGACTTTATGAAATTACAGATGAAAAACTACCATACCGTGGCACACCTACAGCTTTAAGTCATGTGGAGTTTTCAATTTAGATACTTTAAAAAAGAAATACCTAAATGCTTTCCTCCGGGGCTAACTACTTACAAAAATGTTAAAGTCAGAATGTTTTACAGTAAGAAGCGCAGTCTGTCTCATGGCTGAGTGCAGCCACAGAAGCCAGAAACCAGGGGTCTGGTATCTCTCTCCTCGAGCTGCTACAAGGGAAGAGAAAACAGGAAATGTGCTTGGGGCGGAAGACAACACAAGCCACCACTGGCCATCACTGCACACTGGCACGCCGGCTGTCAGGTGCTGCACACCGAGTAGTGTCCAGGCCAGCTCTCCTTGGCCCGGGGTCCCTCTCCCCTCCGCACCTTCTGCCTCCCCCAGAAAAGCCGGGGATGTGGCACCAGGAAACCCGTTATTTCATTCACCACCCCTAGTCATGCAACCCCTCTGCATTTCTACTTCCAAATACAACACAGAAATCACCAAAACACAGCCCTCCCCTTACAGCAGAGTTCCTGGGGAGACAGAATGAGGCAGTCAGGATAAAGTGCTTATAAGCAGAAAAACACTCTCATCACCTTCTCAACTATTCCCCTTACAGGGCAGTTATATATACAGTGGTCAAATCGCAACTCGACTCTAACTTCCTTGGGGGCTGATACTAGATTTTATTCATTTTTGTTTCTCAGGTGAAACCCTGCATGTAGCAGATGATCAATAATTCCTTTAAAATGAACAAGGAATGGACAATCATTACAGTGTTTGCAAAAAGTTATTATCATAGTCACATATCACTATGTATAGAAATATTTTAATTTTAATTTAGTGTATTCATCATCTAAGTTAGTCAAACAATTTTTCTCAGATTCTTGTAAGGCTAGCTTGATATATATATCGCTAAGACACACACACACATACTTATGATTTTATATAAGTATAAATATACAGATCTATCTATCTATCTATCTATCTATCTATCTATCTATCTATCTATCTATCTATCTATCTATCTATCTATCTATCTATCTCCTATTATCCCTATCATATATACCAAGCACTGGACAGAGAGAGGGTTTAATGTACCACACTTAAGGTACAAAGGAACTCTCTCATCAGAAATAAAAAGCCAAGACATTAGAAATGTTACTTTTTTACTATTCTTTGGGTTGTTGTTCTGACAAACTGAGTGTTCCTGGTTCTTCTTAAGTGGTAGAGAGTTTTTGTGATGCTATTTGAAAAAAAAGTGCCAATACAGTTCTTTAAATACTATAAAAATCAACAACCAAAGACCCAAAGCTTAGGAATTAAAGGATTTTACTGACATACAAGGAAAAGTCAGCTGGGGATGCTCCAGTAAAGAGCAAAGGCTGGGACAGACCAGTTTCGTACCTCTGTGGTACACCCATGTCCTACCTCTTTGTCACTGTACGAGATGTTTCGGATTTCATTCCACGGGAAGGAGATCTTGGGGGTCAGTCTGTTCTCAGGATCATAGATGTGAAGCCCCAGAGCATCCACTCCCAGGAGAAGCTCTGTGCCCTTTTTATTCTGTAAATTTGATAAAGAACAGCCCCTGTCAGCTCCTGCTAAAGACGCAAGATTTTATTCAACTTCCCAATGAATCTAGTACACGCTGTTACATATGACAAAGCTTCAACAGGTCCCAACAGAGGTCAGGGCTGTCTTAGAACCCACGGGGCCTCCAGTTTGCTGAAATGGGGTAGGCAGAGGCAAAATTAAGATTCATGTGGTCCAGAGAGGGATCACTGGGAGCTTCTGTCACTGATTCAAGGCTGAAATAGTTATCTAAGTGTTGTTACCCTTAACTAAATGAGGTAACCATAGATGTAGAACAAAATCCCATAGGATTAAACATCTCTTAAGTTGAAAGAAAAAGTGGATGGACAACCATAAAGAAAATTCTAAGTCAAGTCTGAAAATTTTTGTAATTAAATGTTGGGAAAAAAACTATCAAAATAAATTGCTGCAACTTGGATGGAGCTGGAAAAGATCATGCTTAGTGAGATAAGCCAGAAAAAGAAAGAAAAATACCGGATGGTGTCACTCATAGCAGGAGTATAATGGACCAGGCGAGAAAATAACAAGAATAATGAACAGCCATATACCAGAGACATTTTGTGGGGGTCGAGTGGGGAATGGGATCAAAAACGGGGGGTTGGGGAGGGAAGTACACGGATGATGGTGATGGCACACGGGTGACTTGGTGATGGGAACCCCACGGGGACTACAATTGAGACGGGAAAAAAAAATGTACAAAATGATGTAAAAATAAACTGTTATAAATAAATAAATTGCTGCCAACTAGATAGTGTCCTCAATGACACTATTTAGCAGTATCACTGGTTACATGTCCGCCACACCTCTCACAGGTCTTAGTGAGCAGTCAGAGCCATCAGAGGCGAGCACCCAGGGTCCCATGTCACTGACCCGATGGCGACCCACGCTTATGCTGCAGGCTGCCCGCCAGCACCATGGCTGGTCCTGGACTGGAAGGAAGTTCCCTGTATGAGGATCTACAGAACCTGAGCTCTTGCTTCAAGAAAACTGCACCAAGACTCAAGGGCAGGAAAACAGACTGGCGAACTGAGAAGGGGCTTGGACTGTGCTGAGCGGCACCAACTGAATAGCAGGTGTCCAATGGAGAAGTGAGCACCCCAAGATAAATATTTTCACTCCTCCTAATACCTCGAAGTCAGGTACAATCACCAAACCGTGAGAGATTCCTCTGCCCAGCTGCAAAGCACTAAAAACAACTGCTAACACAAGTGAGGCTTTGTAATTTTAAAATCTACAATACAAAACGAGAGATTTCATTGTATTTCTGACTAGTCTAAATTAAACAAACAAAAAAGGATTCTACCTTCTTTTTTTAAATTTTTTTTAAAGATTTATTTATCGATGCACACAGAACTAGGGTACAGGCCAGAAGCACAGGGGTGGTGAGAGGATTCACCAAAGACAGAGTGGGGAGCAGAACAGGCAAATCGACGAAGTACACTGCTGAGGGGAGCAGCGGGCGGGTCAGGAGAGGTCTGCTGAGCCATGTGGGTCACCTCCGGGGCGGGGATCGAACTCGTGCTGAAGTGGCTTTAGCTTCTTAGTGCCGTGCTTTAACCCACTGTGCCACCAGGGAGGACCTGGATTCTACCTTCTGTCTCCTGTAGTTAAGATACCAAGTCTTCTGGAGATTAAACAGAGATGAGGACTCAAGCAATCCCCTTGAAACTGTTTGAAGCCTATCTTCCTTAGTTGATAGTGAAATTTCAGGAACTTTAATACAAAAGACACTAAACTATCCATTAACTTTGTCACATGAGGTATTGGCAATGTAAAAAGGATACACATAAAATTGCACATTTTAGTCTAAATGCTGAAGAATTAATCCCTACAGGTGGTGGGCATATATATGATGAAGTAAGAGGAGTTCTGTTCACAAAACTACAGAAATACATTAAATTAGTTTGAGCTTAAATAAGAAACCACAACCTGGGGCCTCCCTAGTGGTACAACGGGTTAAAGCCCGGCACTATAAAGCTCTCCGCAACCATTGTGGCACGAGTTTGATCCCCGGACAGGGAGGTGACCCACATAGCACAGCAGACCTCTCCTGTCTTGCCTGCTGCTCCCCTCAGCAGCGTTTCAGTTAATCTGCCTGTCTGTTCCCTACGCAGCCTCTAATGAATCCTCTCAACATCTCCCCACCCCTGTGCCTCTGGCCTGTACCCTAGTTCCTGTATATATAAGTAAATCAATCTAAAAAAAAAAAAAAAAAGGGAAACCAAAACCAATCAGCAAATATACATTAATAACACTTTGGAAAATAACCCTCTGTATTATTGTGGAAAAAATTTTAGGCACTTATACACTAAATGAAATAACTTCTTGGTATGCCTTATTTTTTGCAAAATGATCCATTTAAAAAATCTATGTTTAAAAAGTAAATTAGTAGAAAGCTATCCTACAATATTTAAAATGTACCTCAATTTACTCAAATTTATAAGAGCCCAAAAAAGGACAGTAAATCAGTATAATAAAGGTGGGCTACTGCGGATGGTGGATGTTTTAAATGTTTACGTTTCTGCAGGTTGGAACCGGCAATGAAATACTTTAGCAGATCACATGAAATCCTTTGGAAGGAACTGTCTGTAGGTTGCAGTCAGCTGCAGACCCAGGGAAAAAAGTTGCTGAACCTGGGCTGAGAACAAATGCTTCTCTGGAGCAGAAGCAGGGGGTTCCCAGAGGACAGTGTACTATTTATTAATGGTCTGAACAGAAAACCAATTAGCCTGCTAGTGAGAACAAAAGTCCTCACCCAAACAAGTCAGTAATCTATGAGAGCAGCTTTACTCTCCTGTGCCCTGGGGGAAGAATGCCTCTCCAGGCACTCTCCACGAGCCAGATCTCAAAGAGCCACAAATAACCAGGTGCTTCTCTCTGAGCATTCCAACAGGTTTCTGCTGAGCACAGGGCCAGGCCCAAATCCCTCTCGCTGAGGCTCAACTGACACTTGCTTACCTGGGATCTAACTGGAGTCCAAAATAGAAAATTACACTGTAAGACCTCTCTCCCCTTCCTCTTTTCTTCTTTACCACTCAACTATTAAAGAGTCTACCACCTGGAGTGGGGGGAAGTAACCCATTGTGTCAGTCTGCCCGTTTCAGTCTCTGCTTACACCCTGGGAACTTGGGGAGACATCCACGCACCCTGATGGCAAAGTAGTTCACACCATACATCTCCAGGTCCTGAGCTATCTTCAGATATTCCATTTCAGCTTCGTCCCTGCATGAAGAAGGAAATGCATGGTCACTGGAGCTAAGTGAGAGAACGGGAGGGCAGGTGCATGCTAACCTCAGCAGAAGGAGCAGCCAGAGCAGACACCAGCAAAGATCTTCCCAGCCCCCCTCGACTAAACACATCGAGGTCAAGCAGAATTTCCCATCCCCATAAAAACAAGAGGACAGATTCATTACAGTGCCTTTTGGTTTCAATTTCACGCTTTGCCCTTGGTAAATAGTGACACCCATCACAAGTAATTCAAGAAAAGCACGTGCTGTGCATCTTCTCCCTTCAAATGGTTTGGATGTTCAAATTTTAAGTGGTTGCTTTAACCTGTGTGCTTTCTTCACCTAGAAAGTTTTGACAGTAAAATAACTCTCTGAAAGTTACATGCCAGCTACCTTCCAGGTTTTATTTCTCTGGTAATGGTGGAGTTTAGGGGAAGAACTAGCTGGACTGTGACCCAAGCCAGGTCACTTATTTCTGAGTCAAATTTATAGTAAGAGCAGCAGTGACTTGCAAATAAACAAAAAACAAACAAACAAACAAAAAAACTCCCAAACAGGCATAGTATTGAAATGTTTTAACTCAAGTCTCCCCATGACCTTGCCTTTTTCCCTCTCTCTGTGATCTCAAAATGCTCTCAAATGAATTTTAAAAATTCAGTCTGAGAGTAGGCAAGCCAGGAAAGTGGGCAAGCCAGCAAAGCAACTAAACATCACACGCAATGTTGATACAAATTGGTGCAATGACCTTGGAAAATTGTTTGACGTTATTTGTAAGCGCAGCAACCAGAAGACACCCTGACAATCTCTAAGTACCTATGTGAGTAGAATTCTATATAGCAATGAGAATGAAACTGCTGTGTTCAACAAACCCAAACCTCACACTGTGATGCTCAATAAATAAATGAGTCAAAGGTAGAAACTGACTGCTTTTATATGCAGTTTAAAACTAATGTATGAGTTAGAAATCAGGACATCAGGTTATCTTTGGGGAGGGAGGAGGTAAAGTGATGGGATGTGGGGAGGCATGTTATTTTGTGACCTGGTATGTTGCATGGTATTTTCACTTGTTGATAATTCATTAAGTGGTATGCTTAATATTTGTCCACTTTTTGGTTAAAGCTTAAAGTTAAAAACACATTTGATAGGAAGTGCTCTGAAGAAGAAAATTTTAAAGGCTGGAGAAGATGATCAGCTCCTAAAGTGATGAGGGAAATGCTTTAATATAATACAACTTTTTACTTTTTAGATTATAATAATTAGGTTGATTAAAATCAGGGGTGTGGCAAAACTAGCGATAAAGGATTGCTCACAAAGATATACAGAGAACTCATGAAACTCAACAAAAATAAACAACCCTATCAGAAAATGGGCAGAAAAGCTAAAGATACTTCTCCAAAGAGGAAATGCAGATGGCCAACAAGCATATGAAAAAATGTCAACATCACTCGTAATAAGGGAGATGCAAATTAAAACCACAATGAGATACCACCTCACCCCAGTGAGAATGGCACATCTTCAAACAACTAGCAACAACAAATGTTGGCGAGGATGTGGAGAAAAAGGAACTCTCCTGCATTGCTGGTGGGAATGCAAATTAGTACAACCACTATGGAAAACTGTTTGGAGGTTCCTCAAACTGCTAAACATGGAGCTTCCCTATGACCCAGCAATCCCACTCCTAGGTATCTACCCAAAAGACACAAAAACACTGATTGCAAAAGATACCTGCACCCCCATGTTTATTGCTGCTTTCACAATTGGAAAGACATGGAAACAGCCCGAATGCCCAAAAATGGATGACTGGATTAAAAAGATGTGGTACACATACACAATGGAATATTACTCAGCAACCAAAAAAATAAACACATGCCTTTTGCAGCAACATGGATGGAGCTGGGAAGCATCATGCTTAGTGAGATAAGCCAGAAAGAAAAGGAAAAATACCAGATGGCTTCACTCATAGCAGGAGTATAATGGACCAGGCGAGAAAATAATAATAATAATGAACAGCTATATATCAGAGACATTTTACGGGGTGTAGTGGGGAATGGGATCAAAAACAGTGCAGGGAGGGAAATGCACTGAATTATGGTGATGGCACACGAGTGATCTGGTGATGGGAAGCCCACGGGGATTACAACTGAGACGGAAAAAGGCACAAAATGATGTAAAAATAAACTATTATATTATTAAAAAAAAAAAACCACAGGGGTGTAGGGGAAACAGTCTCATACGCTGATGAAAAGTTAAAAGGTACAACTGAGGGACCCTGGAGGCACCTGTCAAACACAAGAGACTGACTCACCCTGAATTCAGCAGCTGTTCTAAAGAGCCTATCCTCGGAGCTACTCACACAATTTCATGATGACCTAAGCTTCTGTATAGGACGCAAGGTTTTGTAAAAGTGACCACTATAGTTACTTCAGACGCCAGCAGTAGAGCAGACGTGGCAGCTATAGGAAAGCCACAGGGTGCAGTTCTCAAAATGAACACAGCAGTCACCCTGACAGACAGACCCACCCCTCACACACCCCACAAGCGAGAAAAAGGACGCGCCCAAAAGCGAGGGCCAGCATCCCTCCGGCTCCCCTTTTTCTTTTCTCTACTTTGGGGCCGCATTTGGTTCCACCACAAGCCGTCCCACTTTCGTGGTTCTTAAAAATACGAAAGGAAGTGGGTGAAGAAGTGTAAAGCAGTGGAGAAGCAGCCTCACCTGGCTCGGCCTCGGTGCTCTGCATACCAGGCTGTGATTCTCTCCTCCCACATTTCTGGAGTCATTTGATAGAGATTTATTACCTAGC